CACAGCTCACAGCAACCTCCAACTCTTGGGCTCAAGCGAGTCTTCACTGAGTAACAGGCATTTAAGCTTCCTCCAGGTCTTTTCTTGGCTTGACAACTCATTTCTTTTTAGTGCTAAAAAATGTTTACTTGTTGGGCAGCCCCTGTGGCTCAGTGAATAGGGCACCAGCCCCATATACTGAAGGTGGTGGGTTCAAAACTGACCCTGGCCAAACCGCGACCAAAAAATAGCTGGTGTTGTATTGGGCGCCTATAGTCCTAACTACCTGGGAGGCTGAGGCAAGAGAATCGCCTAGGCCCAGGAGTTGGAGGTTGCTGTGAGCAGTGATACCACAACACTCTACCGAGGGTGATAGAGTGAAACTCTCTAAAAGAAAAAAATTTTTTCAATTGTCTGGTATACCACAGTTTACTTTTCTGTTAATCTACTGAAGGGCATCTTGATTACTTCCAAGTCTCAGCAATTATAAATAAAGCTACTAGGGTCAGGTGCTGTGGCTCACAGCTATAATCTCAGTACTCTGGGAGGCCAAGGTGGCTGGATAGCCTGAGCTCAGACTGAGCAAGAATAAGACTCCATCTCTAAACATAGCTGGGTATTGTGGCTGACAGCTGTATCCCAGCTACTTGGGTGGCTGAGGCAAAAGGATCACTTGAGCCCAAGAGTTTAGGTTGCTGTGAGGTGACAAAGGGTGACAAAGTGAGATTCTGTCTCTAAATAAATAAAGCTGCTGTAATGCTGGGCACAGTGGTTCACACCTGTAATCCCAGCTCTTTGGGAGGTTGAGGCAGGCAATAGCTTGAGCCCAGGAGATTGAAGTTATAGTGACCTATGATTGGGCCACTGCCCTCCAGCCTGGGCAATAAAGCAAGACCCCACCTCTAAAAAAAAGCTGCTATATACGTCTATTTGTGTAGACACAAGCTTTCAACTCCTTTGGGTAAATTCTAAGGAGTGTGGTTATTGCATCCTAAGGTATGATGCTTTATGTTTTATTTGTTAAGAAGCCGCCAACTGTCTTCTAAAGAGGCTGTGCCATCTTTTCATTCCCAACAGCAGTGAAGGAGTCTGCTGCTCCACCTCCTCACTGGCCTTTGGTGCTGCTGTTTTCTTATGTGTGCAGTAGCTTGGAGTGCTTTACTTTGCATCTCCCTGATGACATATGATGCAGGGTATCTTCTTATATGTTTATTTGGGTTATCTTCTTTGGTGTCTATTAAGAACTTTGACTCATTTTGTAATCCAGGCTTTTTTTGTTCTTTTAGACAGAATCACCCTGGGTAGAGTGCCATGGCATCATAGCTCAAAACACAAACTCTTGGACTCAAGTGATCCTACTGCCTCAGCCTCCCGAGTAGCTGAGACTACAGGCACCTGTCACAGTGCCTGGCTAGTTTTCCTATTTTTAGTAAAGACGTATCTCACTCTTGCTCAGGCTGGTCTTGAACTCGTGAGCTCAGGCCATCCACCTGCCTTTGCCTCAGAGTGCTAGGATTACAGAGGTGAGCCACTGTCCAGCTGTAATCAGGTTTCTCTATTGTTGAATGTTAAGAATTTGTGTATTTTGGATAGCAGCCCTTTATCAGCTTTGTCTTCTGCAGGCATTTTCTCCCAGTCTGTGCCATTTTAGTCTCTTGATGGCATTTTTGGCAGAACAGAAATATTTTTTTAGAGAGTCTCACTATGTTGCCCTCGGTAGAGTGCTGCGGCATCACAGCTTACAGCACTCCAGCTCCTGGGTTTAGGCGATTCTCTTGCCTCAGTCTCCCAAATAGCTGGGACTACGGGCACCCGCCACAACGTCTGGCTATTTTTTTGTTGCAGCTTGGCCAGGGGTGGATTTGAACCCGCCACCCTCAGTATATGGGGCTGGTGCCCTACTCACTGGGCCACAGGCGCCGCCCCAGAACTGAAATTTTTAATTTTGATGATGTGCAGCTTATCAATTCTTTCTTTCATAGATAGGGCCTTTGGTTTTGTGTCTAAAAAGTCCTTGCCATATGACTGAGGCCATAGGTGTATTCTCTTGTTATCTTCTGTAAGAAAACACAAGAGAAATTACATAGCTTTGAGTTTTACACTTAGGTCTGTGATCTCTCTTAGCTTTTGTGATTCATTTTGTTATGTGTGGTCCAGTCATTCCAGCACCACTGAGGCCAACATTTTAACGATACGGGGTGGCTACTTATTTAACAAGGACGCCACATGGCCCTGCACAGAGGGCGTGGTCAGTGAACACTGAATGAAGAGTTGATGGCCGTTCCCATGGTCACCCCAGAGACACTGACCTTGTTCATCCAGTGAGGAAAGTCACAGCAGGCTCCCCAGATGCATGTCTCATGTCTCCATTAGTGGATCCTGCTTTTGAGAACTGACTTTTGGGGGCATTAATTTCAACCAAGAAAGATTTGGCTAATATGTGAGGTCTCAGGACCTCCATGGAGCCCGGGAGCCTGTCTGTCCATAGGGCTGACCTGTGGCCCCATCCCCGTCTTGGTGGAGACCTGCTCCATCACAACCTCAGGCTGTTCTGACTCCTCTTATCTCACAAAAGGCAGGGATGGGAAATCAAGCAAAACTAGGAGCAGTGTGCAGCTGTCACACGCCAACTGTTCTGTCGTGATTTGGTAGAGAGTCTCATCTGAAAGTCCACACTGCAGTCCTGCTCTCGGTCCATGGAGCAGTTAGAAGTTCAGATAGGCTGTAGGGGCCTGGGACGTATTTGTGGTATGCGAACATTCTGTGGACAGAGTCCATGGCTAGCACTGGGTTTGTGGAGAGCATGGCCTTTAACAAAGGTTGGAATATGATTAAGGAGAAACTAGCTCAATGGATACAACAGCACATAGAGCTTAGGCAAATCATATATATTTTTTTAAAAAAACTGGCTTTAGGTGGCTAGAAAAAGTTTTTCTAAAGCAAAGTTGTCCTATGAGGGCAAATGCACGTGTGTTGACATTACACAAAGCAGAGCTGCAAATCCCCAGTGCTGGCACCCCAGCTGTGCGCCTGGGCCTAATTCCCATTTCCCTAGTGCCTTCCCACAGGAAGAGTGCGCACAGCAAGCGTCAGAGGCTACATTTCTGTTTACCACTCTAGAAGGAACACTTAAACTTCATTTTCAGATAAATATCCATTTGGGTGGCGCCTGTGGCTCGGTGAGTAGGGCGCCGGCCCCATATACCGAAGGTGATGGGTTCAAACCCAGCTCTGGCCTAACTGCAACAAAAAAATAGCCTGGTACTGTAGCGGGCACCTGTAGTCCCAGCTACTTGGGAGGCTGAGGTAAGAGAATCGCCTAAGCCGGAGGAGTTGGAGGTTGCTGTGAACTGTGACTTCACAGCACTCTATTGAGGATTAATAAGTGAAACTCTGTCTCAGAAAAAAAAAGAAACATCCATTTATAAGTTGCAGGGGACCTAACTGTGTAGACAGATGGCCTAACCACACATAGAAAACGGGGACTCAAGTGACTAGGAGGCACAGTGGTGTAACTGCAGCAAACCTACCTGAGGAGAAAGAGCAAAGCAATCTTACACTGTCCTTAGCAGTCTGATGATTTCAGCATATGTTACATTATATAATTTATAATTTGTTATATTCATATGCTTTAAATATAGTTATGATTTATTACAATACCTTATATTTGTGAAACTAATGTATGAACATATAAGAAAAAGAGAAGAAGCAGTGATACTGGTGTTGTCAGGAACGGAGATTTTCAGCATAGGTGAAAAAAGAAAACAAGTGGACAATCAGAGAAGTAAAATCCTATAATCTTACACTTTAATTGGAAAACATCTGTATGAATTTTTAGTTTATTTTTCTCTTTGTAGAAGAGTACATATTTCCTAGCTCTATTCAAAAGCCCTAGCAGTACAGACAACCCACCCAGACTGGGGTCCCCACACACTATTTTTCATAGCTAGAAAGGAGGTGCCCTGAGTCAGGGCAGGAGCTGCCTGGGGAGAGCAAGAGGCCGGGCTGTCCTGGCGGCCAGAATGCAAGGCACCAAAGGCCCAAGGGGGTGTCAAAGGACTGCAGGAGCTGACATGAGGCTGCCATCTGGCCAAAGATGGACAAGCTGGGCACCACAAAGCCTGTGATGGAGAGGTACAAATCTGAGAGTTCACCAGGAAGCCCAGGGCCCCACCCCACTTACAGGGCACCAACTCACTATTCTGAAAACAGATAAAGAGAGAAACAGGCATTTTCCCATCTTTCCTGTCCAAATGATATTTCAGGGTCACGAAACAGATGATGAGGAAGAGTCCTTTATAGAACTGTAGCTAATAAATGCAGAAGGAACAGCAGAATTCTAACAACCAGCATTTTGCGATCCCTAAGGAAGCAGTAGGGGTAACTATCAGTGGCAGTTAAAGCCATTAGACACAAGATCGCTGCTGGGTCTGGCTGACACCACCTGAGCCTGCTGCTCCATCCCAGTGTCACTGAAGGGATCCAGCAGACATCCTGTGCCTCCCAACTGGATATACCGCCTAGGAAGAGGCCTTGAGCCTCCTCTAGATCACAGGACATGTAGGGGAGACAGGAGCACATTCACCACCACCACTACCAGAGTGGGGACGTTCCATGAGATAAATGACCCACTCAACAAATGAATGACATGGCTGGTCCCAAGGCAGCGAGTTCTCTCCACTGAATGTTCAATCAGCTACAGAGAGGACCTCTTGTCCCACTGTCCCTTTCTTCTTACTGCACTTGACTAGTCTTTAGGTCAGCCTGGCCTGCCCCCCAGGCAGGTTCCCAGGACTAGCCACTTCAGGCTGACTGGGCCACTGGTTTCCCAATCTTGTTGGGGGAGGGGACTGCCCAGGAGCCAGTCCGCAAGACAGGGCTTGCCTGAGGCAGTTGGTTTGAGGATTGATGTCTGCCGAGCTGCTGAAAGGACCCGGGGTCACACTGAGTGATGGGGTGACCCCCAGGAAGCAGTACTGCTCCGAGGGTGTGGAAGGAGGCAGGCTGGGCCCAGTAGCCTCTGTGGGTGTGAAACCCAAGGCTGTGAGACAGCAGGGCTTCCCAAGAACCTGCAGAGAATGTATCCATTTAAAGAAAAACTGAGTCCAGGCCTGAGGTACTTTGGACCGCCCTCACCCTGCCCTACTGGAGGTGGGGGGCGTAGGCCAGCAAGAGACCACTGTTTGCAGGAAGGAGCAAATGAAGGCACTAAGGGAGCCCAACCCCTAGGCTGGAGGACACTCCCTATGGCTTGAACGCTCCCATTGAGAAACCAGGAGGCCTCAGGAACACTGATTTAATAAGGATGGTTCCAGTGGGGCATGACCTTTGCCAAAGAGACCCCAAACGGATGGGATCTGAAGACAAGATGGTCTTTGGCCACGTGACCACAGATCAGGTTCCTCAAACCATCTCTGCCACCAGAGTCAGAAGACCCAACCTGAGACCGGCCCTGCCCCAAATGCAGCCCCCACACAAGCTGGTCTCTGGCTCAGAGAGACAGCAGGTGCTGACTCAGCCACCAGATGCTGGGCTGGTTCACCTGTGCATGGAGCCAGGGCACAACTTCAGGGATGTTCCCAAGGCTTCCTCATTAGGCTGGTCACCAGTCTGGCCTGGTCAGGGAGACCTGGCCTCAGGCCCAAGGCCCTGTCACACATAGTCCAAAATCTCCGTCTCCATCTCATTCTCACTGCCGTCCGATGGCTTGAAGTCCTCTTCCTCCTCCTCTTCTTCGTCTTCCTCGTCTTCCCCAGACTCGTACGTCAGCGGCTCTTTCCCACCATCAGCCTTGGTTGGGCTAGAGAAAAGAGCTGGGGCAGAGGAAACAAGCTGGGGTGACCAACGCAGGCCTCTGGCTGTCAGGGGCCTGCTTGCCACCACAGCTATCTGGGGAGTGTTGGCCAGGGACAGGTGGAGGTCTGTAGTCTAACAAGTATTTCAGGGGAGCACTGAGGCTGCAGTTTGACAACTGCTCTCCCAGAGGAGCCATGGCAGCTTCAGGGCCCATGGATCCCCCAAGATTATACACACTACTACTCCTGCGAGAAGGTTCATTGCCTCAATTAATGCCTTAATGTTGATGATCAAAAGGCAATCCAGGCGCTGTCCCAAACAAGCCTGAGAGCCCTTGCTCTGGTTGGATCCGCGGGAGTGGCTGGTCTAAGCCCCCACCCCAAGCCTGGGTGGAACCCAAGAGGGCCTTAGCTCTGCCCAGCCTCACCGGGACCACAGCCCAGCAGGTGTTCACCCTCCTTGCTTCCTCAGTGGTCAGCACCTGCCCCCGCCAGGGCTGCCTCCTGCTGTAGACCCTAGGCCTGTAGACTCACAAGCCTCCCTCCCACAGGGCAGGGGCAAGATGAACCCATTTGGGTAAAATTTCTCGGAAATGGCTCCATTAGGGACACCTGCTGTCACCAGAGTGGGTCCTGAGTGGTTCTCACCAGGTCTGTTGGAGCGAATGGTCTGCAGGGTCATGAGAGACATGGCATCCCTCAGGTCATCACTGGTCTTGGGGAGGCACCATCCATCCCGTTCTGTGCACAAAGTCTCTGCCCCATCATTGCGGTGAATGATCTTCTGCAACCTGGGGAGGGAGAGGGACTCGTAGACAGAGGGACAGGTAGAAAGCTCCGGGATGCTGGATCTGGTCCAGGCAGGGGAGTTGTGCTGAGAAAAACAGCACTGAACGTGATAGCTGTAGGGCTGAGCACAGGACACAGCGTGAGAGCTAGGCGTTCCCGGCTGGGCTCCTGAGACCGCGTGGTCCTGGGACCTCTTGCACTGGGCAGAGCTCATGTGCCACCCATGTGCTTCTGGTGTGTCATGGCTTTCACCAGGTTTCAAGCCGCGGTTAAAGGCTCCCGCCCTTCCCCCATGCCCAACTCCTGCAGCTTTTTAAACTCAACTAAGAATAAGCAGAGAAAAGGTATCTGGGATCTGATCAGCCCTGGGATTAGGACCTGCCTCATAGACCTTCATGTGGGCAGTGCGGGGTAGGGGCAAAGATACAACAGCAGGAATGGCATCTGCTAGGCAGAGTCACCATCAGAGTGCAGCCCATGGTCAGGGCCACCAGTGCAGGGCTCTGGGCAGCACCAGCCTCCCAGAAACTGAGTCTTCTGGCAGAAAGATGAAGGCTGACATGAGATGGAAGAGTCGCAGAAAACAATTTGATCTGGTGATGTCTTAGCAGTCCCCTGAGTCCCCAGGGCCGCCCAGTGTCTCAGGCCTCCCGTACATACTCTTCCACGTTCAAATCACACAGCTGGTAGAACATCTGTCGATAGGGTGGCAGGCCCCCCTCCCGGAAGATGTAGACGGTGTCCTGGAGAAAGGAGGGAGACAGACAAGGACAGTTGCAGGAGCCCTTGGTGGCAAGCAGTGCTGGAGATCCCATGCTGCAGGAGTTGGCTTGTTACCAGCACCTGGTTGGGCACACAGGCCAGAAAGCTGGTGAACAGATGCAAAGAAAAAAAGCTCTGACTCCCCAGGAGGTTCTGGGAGGGGTGGAGGAAGCAGCCGGGCCCTCCCAGAGACCAGGAACCCAGAGTCACCTGCCTGACAAACCACAGCGCTCAAAGCTGGGCTGGCACGAGCCTTGTGCTGGGCTCTGCTCAGCACCTTCCTGCAGAGTCTGACCTGCTCACTTTACCAACTGCCACTATGGGTCATCCTACACACCCACCGCCACACTGTCTTGACATCTGGTTTAACAGGGTCAGCTTTCTCCTCTCCTGACCTAGGCAGGTGGTTCTAGAGGCAGGGGTGACAGCCTCCAGTGTGAGAGTCCTTGAGAAGGGAGGCTTTCCAAGCTGTGACATGGTCACCTCTCATTGCAAAGACAGCAAAGGCCTGGAACCCTGTGCAGGCATAGGCCCAGGCCCAGGAGCACTGATGGTGCAGGGAACAGTGCAGCCGTCATTCAGCCTATCTTTGCTATACTCCACCCTGCCACCTACAACCCCCAGCAGGTGATTCCAGGCTGGGGAACACACCCTCCCTGGCCTTTCCCAGGACCGTGGTGGGCTCACAGGAGCCCGAGTGTTGGGAAAGCCTGCAAAGCTCCTGCCCAGCCCAGCACCACGCCCAGATGGTCTGCTCATGCGACTGCCTGAGTCCCATCATTCTAGAGGGATGTCACGTGGCTAGTGGGGCCCAGGTCCATGAAAGGCAGCCACATGCAGCTGCCGGTGTCAGGTTCCCCTCTGAGACGTGTCACCACTTCTTTGCCCAGATGGTCCTTAACACCCATGGTGCCAGGTGGCTTGTACCCCAAAGGTGGGGGTGGGGCCAAGGCACAGCTTGTGTGGAGCAGCCTCAGAGCTCCCCAGTTGCCACCCACAGGGCACCCAGCCTCAAAAGGGAGATGCCTCACATCTACCCTCCATCTTCTCCCTCAACCAAGCAGACTGCTCCCTCCTGGGGCTCAGGGGCACCCACCTTGAGCTTGTACTTGCTGGGGGCCAATTTCCGAACTCCAGGTGTCCCCGATGGGCCCAGACCCTGTTTCAGGTCATGCATGGTGACGAGCTGGCTGGCTGTGTGGGGACAATGGCAGTGCTTTGACATATGGGGCTAGGGATGGGGGTATCTCTGTTGACCACCCCACTCTGTCCTCCCACCTGCCCACCCTCCTCTGGCAGTTTCCTGGAGGAAGGGATCCCAGGAAGAGCCTCCCCACCTGCTGTCAGATGCCCCCTTCCCTAGCATCAGCATGAGGGCAAATCACTCCTGACCCTGAACAGTCCTGGGGCACTTACTAGTCTTTTTGATGGTGATGGGGAGGCTGTAGTTGTAGGTGCTGCGCTTTGCTTTGACAGGCAACTCATTGGGGGCATAACCTGCAGATGAGGTCGGGCATGTCGGGCAGGCGGGTGGGCACAGGGCCCATCTGCAGACAGCCCTGGCTTCACGTTGAGGGTAAGAGCTGTGTTCTTGGGGCCAACTCCTGAGAAAGGTGACCCCAGCCACCAAGCACACCCCTGGGCAACAGTAACCAAGGCAGGCTAGCACTGCCCACACAGGGCGGGGCCAGTTGTGGAGTGCCTTGCACTCCTGGCTAAGACGCTCACTAGTGCCAGCTCACATCACAGGACCACAGGTCACTGTGAGGCACCTGACCCAGAAAGTGGCTCAGAAACAGAGGGTCAGCATTGGGGCCGGAACTGAGCTGAGCCTTTGTTTCAGCACTATCCTGCATCCAACATGTTCTCACCCTGGGGAAGAGGCTTTATTCTCTCCAAGTAAATAGACTGTTATGACAAAAGACTATGCTAGGAATGGAAAAATATAGAGAGAAAGAAGGAAGGCAAAATTTTTAGTAGTTTTTACCGTATTTCAATCCACAACGGATTCGGAAATCAAGGACTTGATAAATCTTGGCCTCTGGGTTTTTTCGGGGGTCATACCCAAATCGGATCCATAGGCTTCGCCAGGGCCCTGTGATCTGGGGACAGAGCAGGTGGGAGCATGAGGTGACATCAAAGCCCAGGCCCCAGGTGGGAGCAGAGCCCTATGCTGGGGTAGTAGGACAGCCTGAGAGCTCAGGATGCCCACCCAGCTCTGCCGTGCTCAGGCTGTTGCCATGAGGTCACTTAGCCTTTCCAATCCTGGGTATCCTGTCACACTTTCCCATGGTCTTGGGGGGATTAAATGAGATGTGCCTATGGTGCCTGGCACACAGTAAGTGTCTAGTGTTACTACCATCCTAGTGGATGGGATGTCTTTGTCCCCAAATGGTGCTTCTAAAGTACTTATGTCTAAAAACCCAATGGTAAGTGACAGAGGAGGCTCTCCAGAGTCTGGAGTCCAATAGGGTGGGAGGATTGATTCTCATGCCCAAAACCCACCACTAGCCCTCATGGCCACATGGTAGGCTGGCCTCCCTGGATGCCCCGTGCAAGTCCCTGCGCATTCCTTTCCTGTCAGCTCCACTAGGAACCCTAGTAACAATATTCCCTTTTTATCCCACTCCTGGGCCCTCCAAACTAACTCAACACAGGTGGGAGGAGCTGAGGTGGCTACTGTGGGCAGGGCCTGGGCTCTGCCACTCACAGTTGGAGGGTTTGGCACATCATGCCACCTCTCTAAGCCTCGGCTTGTCCTCAGTGTTAAAAAGGGACCCCTGTGACTCCCTGCAGGTAGGAATAAAGGATCTGATGTGTACCAGCACTTCTTCAGTGCTCGTCTTAAAAAGTCCTCACAACCAGCCCATCCTCTACAAAATAATCCCTTTACTACAAATCAGGTAATTAATCCTTTATCCTAAAGTCATCCAAATACGTTATTAGAAGGCTGGGTCTCAGGGAGCTGAAAACCTTGTAGTTGACTTTAACAAGCTATCTTGGGGCACTAGGATGAGGGGTAGGACAGGGGACCCCGGCTCTCACTATATTCTAAGATGTCAAATCAGGGATCAAGGCCCACACTGGTGGGAACCAAGGCAAGTGGGCAGCCGATACTTACCATGTAATAGGCCAAGTAGGGAAGCAAGACCTTGAGCTTGTCAGGGTGGACGCTGATGTTGGCCTTGACGGCATTCCGGGACCAGACAGGACGGATTTCAAACAGCTGGGGAGAGCCAACAGCAGAGGCTGGGCCGAGACCAGCAGCTTCTGCTCTCCTGCCCCAAACTCCCCAGCATGTGAAGAGTGGGTGATGGGCAGGAGCTGGGCAGGGAGGGCCCAGCCCCCAGGACGTGCTGCACTTAGACTCCCCTCTTTCAGCCATCTGAGGCCTGGGTTGATGCCTAGCACATACAGGTATGGGACCTGGGGGCCTCACAATGACCACAAGGGACATGGTACCTGTCCTGACACAGCTCACACCATAGTAGGCGAGCAGGGCTGAGGGGGGCATGCCAGAGCTCCAAGACCCCCAACCTACAGCCTCTGATGGGGCACTCTCTGGACACAGTCCACATTCCTAAACTGGCTCACAAGGCCCCTTTTGCCCTGGCCTTCACACTCTGGCCATGCCGACTCTGAAGGGGAGGCCAGTGCAAAAGGGGCCTTGTGAGCCAGTTTAGGAATGTGGACTGTGTCCAGAGAGTGCCCCCCCAGGGACTGTAGAAATTCAGCAAGATATCCAGTCTCTGGCAGGAACAAGCTTCCCCACAGGAACAGTGCAGAATTCAGCTTAAGCCAGGGAAGAGCCTGAGCCGAGCCTTAGCCGGCAGTGATGCAGTCTTTCTGTGAACTTGCTGTCCACACCTGAGGGGACACAACTACCAGAGGCCCCAGCCTCAGACTTCAAAGCACCTCCGAGCCAGAGGGGCGGGCAGGTGCCGGCAGCCCAGCTCCTCCAACAACAGGGAAGACCGAGCTGGGGCTGGCACATGGCAGGTGCCCTGCCAAGTCTGCTGCCACCAGCGAATGAACAAACAAAAGCTTAGAGGATCTCAGAGTGCCACGTTTAAGTCACATTTGAACAATACACTCATTTTATTTACCCACCACCAAAGGGACTTAAGAATTCTAAGAAGTATTTTCAAGCTTGGGAATGCAAGGCTAACAGGGCTTTCAGATGTAACACCTGGGGATGAAAATTTCCTACATACTAAGGAAAGAGTTTGAAAACTTTAAGCACAGTTAACCCACAGCCTGGGACGGGGAGCAGCTAGGTAAACACCAGTGATCTGTGCCAGGGAGGTGTTGGTCAGGTGGGCACCGCCCCAGACTCACCTTCCTCAGCTCCTCCTCCACCTTCCGATCCATGGGGTTGGTGCAGACTCTCTTCCATGTGTGCACTGCAGCTTCCAGGGGTTTCGAGGGCACCTCGTCCTCAAAGTTGACAAAGATGGCATTGTGGGGGCGCCGGGCCCTGCTCAAGCCAATCAGATTCTCTCCTGAGATGGGGGGGTTGTTGTAGCCTTCCCTGAGGGTCAAAAGTGCTGGTGAGAACAGGACCACTGAGGACAATCCCAGGCACAGGCCTGGTCAGACCAGGCAGGGTGCCCAGTGGCCCAAGTTTATGTGCTTTCTCCCTGGAAATCCAGGTGAGGGAGAGGATTACAGAGCTGGCTGCTGAAGGAACCCGTGTTCCCAGGCTGACAACCAAGGAAGAGAAGAGCTGTGACTGCCAATGGCAGCTCAGAAACCAAGACAAGGCCAAAGGCACCGGAGGCTGGGGCATGGAAAAGAGCACCTGTCATGAAGCTGGTGGCCTGAGAACTGCACTGAGTCACAGGCAACATTGTGTAGCCAGTGAGAAGCTGGACACAATCTAAAGTCCATCAGCCAGGGACGGAAAGTCACTTATGTCACCACCACACAAAGAACATGAGTGGCTAACAAGATAGGACAACTACACCTCCTGACGTTAACTTTCACATGACTCACACATTTAACCCTCTGAACACTTCTCTGGAGAAGGAATAATTTTTTTTTTTTTGAGACAGAGACTTAACCTGTTCCCCTGGGTAGAGTACTGTGGCATCACAGCTCACAGCAACCTCTAAGTCCTGGGCTCAAGCAAGTCTCCTGCCTCAGCCTCCCAAGTAGCTGGGACCACAGGCGCCCGCCACAGCACCTGGCTATTTTTTGGTTGCAGCCGTCATTGTTTTTTGGTGGGCCCGGGCTGGATTCGAACCTACCACCTTAGGTGTATGTGGCTGGCGCCTTAGCTACTTGAGCCACAGGCGCCGAGCCAGGAATAATTTTTGATAAAGGAATGGCAGCCACAGGGATGAGGGAACTTGCCCAGAGCCACTTCACTGTGGGTGTGTCACTGTAATAAGAGCACCCTTCTAGTGGGGCATATACGTGGGGGGAGGGGTACATGGGATTCTCTGTACCTTCATCTTATTTTGCTGAGAATGTAAAAATACACTTAAAAAGATCTTTAAAAAACCAACACACAAAGAAAGGGTTCTAGCACCCTATGTATGTGTTGGCACAGAACACACCTGGGCAGCTATCTCCCAAAACACTTGCAATGGCCCCCCTTTACCACTGGACGTCAGTCAACAGACACAGAAAGCAGGAGACTGGGACAGAGAAGCTGCAGCTGGTCATCCCACCCTGAGGCAGATTCCGTTTCCCCACTCTACCCCCAGCCCCCAAGTCCTTCTGAAGTACATTTAAAGTATGACCTGGACAGAACCCAACTCTACCCAGGTGATTAGTATTTTTTAAATCAGTCCTTGATTTTTCTACATGAGCTAATACCCTTTGCAATCCTCTGGAGAAAAACAAAGTGATTTTCACAATGGGAAACAAAATTCAAAAGGTGGGATCAAGTGCCCTTTTTAATGAAAAAAGGGCCTATATGAATAACCGCTCCAGACAGGGCAATGCCATCCTATTTTCAAAGATACCCTCAAGGACAGCCGGGTAGTCTATTGGTATCTGCCCCTGAGGGAAAGGCCCACAGACCTCTGTTGCACCCCCACTGCTGGCAGCTTTGGGCTGAGGTCCTGGTGTGTCACTGTGATTCAAAGCATTCAGAGAACTGCTGGCAGGGGCCATGGGTGCTAGCAGCCAAGCCAGCAGGCCCAACCTGCAGACTCTCCTAAGGGAGCAGAAAGGGCTCAATGTTCCCACACAGAAGGGACACCCTCAGGCCAACCTCCCAGCTTCTCTTCTGCCTACTAGATATATTCGCCCTCCCCAGACCCACAGAGGGCTGAGGAGGCAGCCAGGCCAGGCCCCATGCAGTCAGGAAGGCAGCAGATAGCAGCCCTGGGAAGAAAGGCAGGTTCTTTCCACATGCTGGGAAGCCAATAACCCACATGGGGAGGAGAAGGGCCAAGGGGACCTGCCCTTCCCTCGTCCCACCCCAGAGCCTTGGGAACAGGTGTCTGCTGGCCCAAGGGCACAGCAGGGACTCAGATGTTGTCATCAGCACCAGCTGCAGCAGCACCAAGGATGCCATCTCCTTCCGCTGTGTATTTGTTTGCTTCTGACAATAGTAAATTTCTTCTAGAGGTAGAAACCAAGACATTTTATAAAATATGTAACTTTAAACAGCCTGAGCAAGAGTGAGACCCCATCTTTAAAAACAGCCAGGTGTTATGGCAGGCACCTGTAGTCCCAGCTACTCAGGAGGCTGAGGTAAGAAGATCACTTGAGCCCAGGAGTTCGAGGTTGCTGTCAGCTGTGACACCACAGAACTCAACCCAGGGTCCAGGGTGACAAAGTGAGACTCTGTCTCAAAAAAAAAAAAAAAGTAACTTTAAAAAGGGATCATCAGCCTCCTGTTTAAAACATGCACAAGCATAATGTGCTACAGAAAAGCTCCGCAAGCAGGGGTTTTCGGCATGGTGGTGACGTGACCTGACTCTTTAGTCACACATGGCCATTAGCTTACTCTTACAATCAGAAACAAAAGGGGGTTGGGACGGTAGGGAACTTACACATTAAGCAGACCCAGGAGACATCAATCATAAACAACATGTGGAGACCCTGTTTGGTGCCTATGATGCTTTTGAGACAACCAGGAAACACTGAATAAGGATAGGGTCTGTGTGACACTAAGGAGTCCCATATAATCTGTTCAGAATGACACTGGTGTCCCAGGTGCATTGGAAACATGGGCCTGCTCTGCCAGAGGTGCACACTGCTTGTCTCTAGAGGCTGCTGAGCCGGGCAGGGAGAGAAGTGAGAGCAGAACGGTGCTTGAGGCAGAAGCACATGAGGGGCGCGTAGAGGCCACACTCCAAGGCATGTTTTTGAATGCTCCATAATGTTGCTAAAAGAAGAGAATAATATGCTTTCTCCCAAGGATAAATCTAAGCCCTTCGCCATGGTCTGTGAGACCCTCACCCTACCACTCTCCCTGGCTCCCTCTGCCCTGGGGGGACCAGCCTCCTGATGCTTCCTCTGCACCTGCAGGTCCCCTGGTCTAGAACATTCTCCCAGGATCTTCACCAGCCCAGCTCCATTCCCACTCAGGTCTGTTTTGGATGTCAGCTCCGCCAATGGCCACCCTCAGCCCTGGCCACCACCTATTGGGCACCCATCTCTTTCCTGTGCTCTGCCCGGCTGCCTAGTCCCTGAGCAGCACCTCACCTGCTGTGTGGTCCACAGACACAAGGGTCCTGAGAGTGCTCTGGGCCGAAACAGACACTTGGGCAGGACTTGAAGAAGTATTTAATGAGAAATGAAAAAGTCCTCCCACCCCGTCAGAGATAAATGTTTGAGCCCAATCTTCTATACTTTTCTAGGCTTCTGTTATCAAACCACAATTTATTTTCAGTCCACAAAATCTGGTCTAACGCCTGCCATTTCCACACAGTAAGGCAGGTATCCTGGACGTGTGCTGTGGCAGGCCACAGAGCCCACTCACCCAAAGGCTGTACTTTTGGAAACTCAAAATGTGCTACAGAATAATTCTTCAACACCACCACCTGAGTTTCAAAGTCTTTTTCGTTACGCTCATCTATGCATGTTAGTCTTACTCCCCAAAACCTTCTCTCTGGGTCCACAAAGACGCAAACTGCCTCTCACGGGCCAGCCCTGCTCCAAGCACTGGAGTATGACAGAGGGCAAAATAGGCCAAGCCACTACCTTTGGGGAGTTTACATCAAAATGAGAAAAATTTTTAAAAATTGTCTTCTTGCATATAATTTTAAAAAGTAAAGCACATAAAGAGAACAGTGTGACACTGATCAAAGCCATGGAGTGGGGAAGATGGATGGGGGGAATGCGGGCACTGACACCAGGTATCGTGTGCACTGCAGGCAGGGTGGAGACCCGTGGGGTGTGGGACAGTGGGCAGTGAGCTGTGCACACTATTGGTCTAGGTTGGGTAATTTCAAACCCATTTTCTTCATTTTTTTACCCACTATTCAGTCTTGGCTTTTACACAAAGGAAATCCTATTCCTTCATGTCAGCATGTGGCTGGTCTCCAGCATAAAACGAACATTTGACAATGTCCAGGCCTGCCTTTCCCACAGGCACTGGGGGCTCTAATTATGTCAAGAGCTTCTAAATTAAAGAACTGGTTTCATCTGAATTACATGTGGTCTTGGTAGGAATGTGCACTTGGGAGGGGAATGGGCCATGAGTCATATCCATCTGGCTTCTCACAACCCTTAGTGGAGAAGAAAAGAAGACTGATACAAGAGACATCCAGTGCCTGTCTTTAGTGCTTACACACAAGAGGGAGCAGAGACCGAAACACACGTACACCAAGCCAGATCTGTGCAGCAAGTCACACACACCCTGAAGCACATGACATCGGGTTCTCTGAAGCCACCTCCAGCCAAACAGGGCAGACCAGGAGATATCAACAGCTTTCTGCTGTTCAGGTTAACTGGGTCTGAGGTTTTGCAGGTGAGTGTGGCAAAAGGAGACAGGCCACGGAAGGATGGATTACAAAGATGGCCATGAGGCTCAGCACCTGTAGCAGAGTGGTTATGGTGCAGGCCACATGCACCAGGGCTGGCAGTTAGAATCTGGCCTGGGCCAGCTGAACAACAATGACAACTGCAACAACAACAAAAAAAGCCAGGCATTGTGGTGGGTGCTTGTAGTCTCAGCTACTTGGGAGGCTGAGGCAAGAGAATCACTTAAGCCTAAGAATTTGAGGTGGCTGTGAGCTGTGACACCATGGTACTCTACCCAGAGCAAGGTAGTGAGACTCTATCTCAAAAAAAAGATGGCCATGAAATTTCTGCCAGGCTTGGGGATAGTAAGGCCATGAGGGGGCATAGGAAGTGGGAAAGGCCTAGAGTCAGAGGGGGACATTCACAGGAGGCCTTTCTTAAGTAGTGTCTGGTAACAGGCAGAGTTGCTAGCTTAGAGCCCATAGCTCAGCAGCTAGGGTGCTCGTTACATACACCAGAGCTGGTGGGTTCAAATCTGGCCCAGGGCCTACCAAACAACAATGACAACTACAATAAAAAAAAAAAAAAGCTGGGTGCTGTGGTGGGCACCTGTAGTCCCAGCTACTTGGGAGGCTGAGGCAAGAGAATTGCTTGAGCCCAAGAGTTGGAGGTTGCTGTGAGCTGTGACACCACGGTACTCTACCAAGGGCGACATAGTGAGACTCTGTCTCAAAAACAAAACAAAACAAAACAGGCAGAGCTGCTGGTCAGCAATGACAAGGGAACTAAACCAAAGGACATTAATCTACAGGAACCCTCAAGTCCCACAGCCACATCCTCTGCACCGTAAGAGTCATTGGGAATAGAGCTGATGTGATGATCACAGGCCACCACCTATGAAGGGGCTGTTCTGCACTGGGCCCTGTGCTGAGAACTACGTGTGCTTTTTACATTCAATCCTGGCGGGGCACAGTAGCTCATGCCTATAGTCCCAGCACTTTGGGAGGCCAAGAAGATTGCTTAAAGCCAGGAGTTTGAGACTTAGTCTCGTTAACACAGACCCCATCTCTACAAAAAACAGAAAAATTAGCCGGGTGTGATGGCACACAGCTATAGTCCCAGCTACTCTGGAAGCTTAGGCAGGAGGATCCCTTGAGTCTAGGAGTTCAAAGCTGCAATGAGCTATGATCATGCTATTGCACTCTAGCCTGGGTAACAGAGAGACTTTGTCTCTAAATACATAGATAAAAAACAAATTCAATCCTAAAACTTCTCTTCAGTAGGCACTGCTGCTGCCACCTCATTTTTAGGATGGAGAACTGAGGCTGAGAAGCTAAGTGGCTGGAGCCACTGGCTCTGCCAATGAGTGGCAGAGTCCAGTCTTGGACCCAGACCCTCTGACCACAGGGCCCTTGTTCTGACCTTGATGCCACAGTGTTAAAGGGGGCCTCACCGATGCTGTGTCTCTGGGCGGTAGAAGTAGTCCACTGGGGTGTCTAGCCGGGAGAAGATGGGCGGGGGGATGTAGAGTGGCAGCTCCTGGTGGAAGAAGCCCTGCTTCTCAGGCCGTAGCATAAGCACCTTGTCATACATCGATGTGTGCTTGCCACTGGCTTCTGTGTGCATGGCCAAGTACTGGAAATCAGACATCCCTGGAAAGAGAGGTAGGAAGACAGATGCTGTGACCAGGAAGGCCCATCCACAAATGGGCAGCTGGCACACACCAATGCCCACATTCCCTTAGGGACATGCTCACTGGGTCTTACATTGGAGGTTGCCAGGTCGTGGTGGCAAGTGCTGAAACTACACCCTTCCAAATGCTCCTGTGAACCTGGCTCAGCACACTCCACGTCACTTATGTAGAAACTATTTTTTGGGATGGGGGAGCCATGTGATAGGTGAGGATGAAGTCTGGGTCCCTGCTTCTGAAGACATAATATGCACAGGAATCACCTGGGATCCTGCTAAACACAATCTCAGGTGCTGAGATTCCACACTGCTAACAAGCTCCCAGGTGAGGCTGCGGCTGATGCCCAGGGACATGGGGAGTAGCAAGGTACCGGCTCACTCAGATGCAAATCTGATACAAAGTGTGGGGCTGCTTTTTTTTCCTTTGAGACACAGTCTCACTCTGTTGCCTTGGCTAGAGGAAATTTTATCAATCACTTGGAAAACCTTGTCCCTCGTCCCACAAAGAACCCTCCTTGGAGAACACCATGTCCCATCAGAATGATGGACATTCAAATGCCTAACCTGTGGGACCCCAAGTCCTATCTTTCCTTCTTTTTACTTTCTTTTTCCCCTTTTCTTCTTAGTCTCCTTTTCTTTTTTCAATCATTATTCCTTTCAGGTTATGCCTCAGAACTGCAGGCATTTCTAAGGTGAGTAATTCACCAACCACCTGGGCCTGGCCCTTTAACAGGCATTACCTCCCTGCATCTCCCCAGGACCTCACAGACTCTAGACTCCACAGTCTCTTCTGTGCAGACAAGGAGACTGAGGCTGAGGGTGCCACAGTACCTACCTAGAGGAACTGGAGAGCTCAGGTACACACATTGCCACCTTATAGCCCCTCTCCACTTACCAGCCTCACCAGTGTCCCCTGTAGGTGGCAAACTTGACTGAGCAGCACATGGGAGATGTCCAGTCTGCTAAGAGCTCAAAGGAGCATGAGTTCCCGAGGAGCTCAAGTGAGCTGGGAGAGGGCTAGCAACACCAGTAGTGGTTAAGACCAAGAGAAGGTTTTAGAACAGGGGAGGAAAAAACTAGAGGTCTACTGACCAGTTTTTTTTTGGCCCCATATAGCAGTTTTATTAACAATTAAGAGATTTCTCATAGATTCCTAGCTTCTCTTGAAGTATGCTGAAGATCAGCGAGCCCACTGCTGGAGGTGGAAGAGGAAAGGCTGCCTCCTGGCTGGGGCCCCTGCTCCTCAAGTCTGGGCATAGCCTGGCCCACTTCATGGGTATAAATGACCTACATGGTTCCTATAAGCCATGAAATAACCAAATGCTGCAAGACCAGACTTCACCATTACCCTGAAACTTGTAAACAGTGGAGATAATGCCCAGGATCTCCATGCCAAATGTGACCTCGGGGTGGGCCTCGGTGCCCAGCACCCCCTTCCGCTGCCTTGTCTTCTTCTTGATCCGGAGTAGCAAGCTGCTGGTGCTGAAGCGGTTGGCACACACAGGGTGGCAATAAGGGTCCTTGGGCCGGAAGTACAGCTCTAGCCTCTTAGAGGGGTCTGCGTAGATCTGTCAAGACGAAAGAAGGCAGAGTTAAGGCAGTGATCAGCTAAGCAGCCAGCAAGGAGCTGATCCTCTCTTACCAAAAGCCTGGTGGTGAACCAGGTGAACCAGGTGACTGAGGAAGAGCCAGGAGGCTTAATTTTCATTCTGAACTTTTAATTCCTTTAAACTAAAAAACCCAAATATCAGGCAGCGCCTGTGGCTCAAAGGAGTAGGGTGTTGGCCCCATATGCCAGAGGTGGCAGATTCAAACTCATCCCCAGCCAAAAAAAAAAAACAAAAACAAAAACCAAAAAACTACAAAAACCCAAATGTTCTCGGTTTTTATGTAGTGGAGAAAATGAGGACCAAGAGAGGTTGTGAAGTTGAAGATAACAAACTCCAGTGAAATAAAAGCCCCGTTTTCAAGTGCCTGTTCAGTATGGGACCTCATTTGACTCTTCTGGCAACACTCGTGGTAGATATTTTCACTCGAGTCTACTTTGAGGTAACTGAGGCTGGGAGGGGGACCAGTTGAGCAACTTGTCTAAGGCTACCTACTCTAGGGAATACTCACCCCAGAAGGGTCTTGGTATTCAGTCCCATATGCAAATGTTTCTAGGTCCAAAGGAGAGTAAATCCATCATTCATAACCATTTTGGCTCTAGCTGTTACCTACAGCTTTTCAAGCATATGAGGCTGAATGCCAAAGACCCTTTTGGGTCCTTCTCTTTAAAAACTCTAAGAATGGCTCGGTGCCTATAGCTCAACCGGCTAAGGCGCCAGCCACCTACACCTAAGGTGGCGGGTTTGAAACCCCAGCCCGGACCCGCCAAACAACAATGACGGCTGCAACCAAAAAATAACCGGGCGTTGTGGCGGGCGCCTGTGGTCCCAGCTACTTGGGAGGCGGAGGCAGGAGACTCGCTTGAGCCCAGGAGTTGGAGGTTGCTGTGAGCAGTGATGCCACGGCATTCTACCCAGGGGGATAGCTTGAGGCTCTGTCTCAAAAAAAAAAAAAAAAAACTCTAAGAATGGTACCTTCCTCCTAAGATTGTTACAATGATTAAATACACATAAATCACTCAGCCTGGTACCTAACTTATGGCAAATACTCAACACATGGCACCTACTTATGAACAAATGCTTGCCTCGCACTGAGTAAGACCGATGGAATTACTGTCAGATGTGTAAGTACAAAGGAAGCACCAATGTGCACTGGACAAAATGTGCTAGTCTGTTGGCTCCCTAACACCCAAGATAGGGTGGGGCCTTTAGGAAATGCTCAGGAGCTAGCTAAGGAAAGAGTGAAGGTCATCTGGAATTCCCTTGTCTCTTGAAACACACAACTGAGACCTGATGAGGTGGGGGTGAACCCAGCCATGAGCATGGCACAAAGGAGGTGCTCAAGAAACCTGAGAAGAATGAATGAATGATAAAAGTCCCTTTCTGGGCTCACAATGTAGTTGCACAATGCAGTTGGGTAGTTAGTGAAAGTAAGCGTTCTATCAATGCCACAAGTGAATCAATCAGTATAAAACAAAAAAAACCATGAATGCCTGGGGATTTACTGACATCTTGTCGTTAAAAATGAGTTCAAAGCTTTTCAATATTCATAAAGGAAGAGGAAGCAGCAGTTAAAAGCTCAGAAGGCAAAGATGAGGTCAAATACCCACTGTACCACGTAGGAGTCGTTTGACATGATTTGTCTTACCTGTGCATTTATCTGAAAAAATGGGAGCAAAAACAGAATCTGACTCACTACAATGTTGTTAAGATTCAGTAGTACATTCTACAAATTTTATAGAACTAGGAGTACAGAACTGAACAAGAAAGGTCTCTGCTCTTATGGAGTTTACAATCTCAGGACTAAGGGAACAAGACAGACTATAAATTAGTTAAAACATAAGCTGAGGTAGGAATTAACAGGATGAAGAGACATATAACTGCTAGACAACACTCTAATTAGGGCAATCAGGGAAAATCTCTCTAAAGAAGACACATTTCAAGGCCAGGCGCGGTGCCTCATGCCTGTAATCCTAGCACACTGGGAGGCCAAGGCGGATGGATTGCCTCAGCTCACAATTTTGAGACCCAAATGAACAAGAGCAAGACGCCGTCTCTAAAAGTAGCCGGACGTTGTGGCGGTCGCCTGTAGTCCCAAGCGCAAGAGTTTGAGGTTGCTGTGACCTATGACACCACAGCACTCTACCGAGGGCGACAAAGTGAGATTCTGTCTCAAAATAAATAATAAGACACACTTCAAGATTTAGTACATGTAAAGAACTTAACACAGGGGCGGCACCTGTGGCTCAAGGACAAGGTGCCAGCCCCATATGCCAGAGGTGGTGAGTTCAAATCCAGCCCTGTCCAAAAAAAAAGAACTTAACACAGAAACTCATCCCAGTTGCCCTACTTGCTGTATGATCTTGAACAAGCCGTATTCACTCCCTTGTAAAAGGCAGACATTGGGAGTATCTGGTAGGGTTCTAAAGAGGACAGAATGTAAGGGAAGCAACCTAGAACCGTGCCCAGAACAGAATAAAATACCAGCTATTACTGAGCTGCGCTCATGGCATGAATGCTGAGGCTGAGGCTCATATTTGAACATGGGATGGAAAAGAGCCCCAAGAATGTCCCCTACAGTCCTTTCCTTCCGTTCCCGCTTTGCGCGTTCGCGGAAAGCAAAGCTGAGGCCAAGCGGCCTCCCCACAGTCAGCTACTCTCTCCGTTGCCAAGGAAACTACACCCCCCCCCGCAAAGGTCCGCCCCTTCGGCCGTAGCCCAGCCATTTGGTCCCTCCCCCGGTGTTCCAGAGATTCCCAGTTTCTTACACGGGAGACTCCTTCCTCGCCGCCCAGAGTCGACACCATCTTAGTCACGTCACGCACCACGCCCGGGTACTCCACGCACACCATATTCCGCTCCCGCCGCAACTCCACCGGGACCGCCGTCCCCAGCCTCGCCTCCACCGCCTCCGCCGCCATCCCTGACGGTCTAGCCCAGCCCGCCACGGTCCGTTTACCAAAGTGCTCCCGGAGGCCTCGCTTCAATGGTTCCGCGAAGGATTTGTTCCGGGCTCCCTGACTGCTGGTCCCCCTAACTCCCAGAGCTTAGCGAGACTCCACCCTCCTAGAGAACCAACACTTGAGGGGAGGTCCCAGGGCTTCGAGGTAAACGATTTACATGCCCTTGACTTTTTGTTTAAAATCAAGCTGGTTAGTCCGAATGGCAGGGCAAGAACCTGCGTCTCCCACCTGCCAGAGGACGCAGAGGGACAGTAGGACACCACAACCTTAGCCAATGAGAACCCGAGAGTCAGTTAAGCTTTTAGCCAATGAAATTTCCGGAGGAATACACATTTCACCTCCAGTGACGTAGATTTTATCCAATACAGAACCAGGATTTGGCCACTTCCCGCCCTTTTCCCGAAATCTTCCCCAATGACAGCTCGGGGGCGGGGATATGCGAACTTCCGGCTCGTCTCCTTTACTAGGAGAGGCCTCTGCAGGGAATTGACTTCCGGGTCGGGATCCTGACTGAGGTTTCCAATAGCTCAGTCTTATCTCCAAGCTTCCTAGAAAGAAGTTTCTTTCTTTCTTTCTTTTCTTTATTTTTTTTTTGAGACAGAGCCTCAAGCTGTCACCCTGGGTAGAGTGCTGTGGCATCACAGCTCACAGCAACCTCCAACTCCTGGCCTCAAGCGATTCTCCTGCCTCCGCCTCCCAAGTAGCTGGGACCACAGGCGCCC